TGTGGCTGGGTGCTACGGTGTGGAGGTGGGGCCAGGCCCTGGGGGTGCTAGGGATTGAGAGCCCACCAGCACGGCACTTCAAGCAGGAGGAAGGTGCAGAAGGTAGCTAGGGTAGGGCAAGGATCAGAAACTAGGAAACAAGGGTTCAGAGCCAAAGGGGCTCTCTCCCCCAAGTGGGACAGACAGGAAGCCCCACTCAGCTGAGGAAGGAACCCCAGGGGCTCCCCCTCCCCCTTTGCACCCCCCTCAGCCGCCTGCCCACACCCACCCATGCCCTGCTTAAGCCCTGGGCTGATACCGCCATCCCGCCGCTGGCACAGGGCTGCCCTTCATGCCGTCCAGCCCCCCTGTGCCCAGCACCATCAGGCTTCGGCGTTCCCCAGCCTTGGAGACAACCAGCCTCCCACCTCCACTCCAGCCCACCAGGAGCTGCAGCACCAGGGACCACCGTGCAGCTGTGAGCAATCCGAGGGGCCAGGCCGCAGCAGGGCCTGGGCATGGGCCCCAGGAGACGATGCCGCCTGCTCTGCGGACACAGCTGCTGCGAGGACTGGCTCTTTTAGCATGTTTACGTAATAAAACATCTGGGAACAGTGGCCAGCCTGGTGTGTGTTGGTGCTGAGGGCGGCTCTGCCGGGCCAGGGAAGGGACCTAGGACCAGAGGAGGCAGATACATTGCAAAACCCCTGTGGCAGTGGATCAGAGCCCTGCCTTGGGCTCATGCTATGCTGCTGGCACTAGTTTAGCTGTTCCTGTTCCGGCTAGAGCCTGAACCCTCTACTTCGGGGAGGAGAGCCCAAGCACAATGGCACTGCCTTGAGTCCCACGCCAGAGCCAGGTGCTCAGACCGCTCACTGCAGTTTGTTGGTGCAGATGTTCCTCTACCACCCAAGGACACCGTGTCCTCACAACCATCCAGCCTTGGAAGACTAGAAATGCCACACACCCCAGGGCTGAGCAGAACCCCTTGGTGCTACCTTGGCCAATTCCAGATCTATAGCCAGTGAGTGGCCCCAGACCCTTCATGGTCTGGGGAGGCTGCACACGATGAGGTTTTCTCCGGTCTGTGGGCCTAAGAACTCCACAGCTCCTTGGCACTGGAGGAGGTGGCTGCCCACAAGGCAGGGAATGGGGAGGCAGGCTCTGCCCAGGGCTGAGCAGAACCCCTTGGTGCTACCTTGGCCAATTCCAGATCTATAGCCAGTGAGTGGCCCCAGACCCTTCATGGTCTGGGGAGGCTGCACACGATGAGGTTTTCTCCGGTCTGTGGGCCTAAGAACTCCACAGCTCCTTGGCACTGGAGGAGGTGGCTGCCCACAAGGCAGGGAATGGGGAGGCAGGCTCTGGAACAGGGTCTATCATCCCTATGGATAGCAGCTATGGGCACTCTGGGCTGGGACAAGCAGCCATGCTGTTGTGACAGGGGGAGGCACCACGCACAAGGGTGACGCCAAGGCTGGGGGGGAAGGGGGGGGGGGGGAGATCAGGTGTCCCGCTAGGGAAACACCTCTGGCGGCCAAGTGGTTTGAACCAGTTGTGCTAGGGGCCACAGCCACCCTCTCTGCACCAAAGGGGAAACTGAGGTATGGACAGGGCCAGTCACAGAGGCTTTCCTGGGCCATGCCCCTGCCCCTTCCAGGATTAACATCCAGTCTCCTACTTCCTTACACCCTAAAACGTGCTGTGGGAGCTGCCTGCCAGAAATGGGGTTATATAAAATCACAAGACGCAGCAGCTGGGGCTCTAGGCCTGACTGCGAGTGATGCGCTGTGTGACACAATGGGGGCCTGTGTAACAGAGGAGCAAACATCAGTGATCAGGCCCTGATAAGCGCGGCTTAGAACCCAGCTGCTGAGTCGCGTGATGTGAATTTTGAGCCAGCGTAGGAGGCACTCTGCATTTCTGATCGCCCTTGGCTCTGTAGTGGCCTGCAGTCCTTGCCCAGAGCAGATGGAGAGGTGAGACTATCCTGGATCAGGAGAGGAGGGCTGGACATGCCTATCTGGCTAGCAGCAGCCGGAGAGATTTGGGTCTGGGCTATAATTGGGACTCGTAGGTGTGGCAAATACAAATAAGCAATTCAGCGCTCAGGTAGATGATCAGTGGAAATCGGAGACAAAAAATGATTCAAGGTCTATGACCTATGAGGGAAGACTGAAAGAACTGGGCTTGTTTAGTTTAGAAAAAAGAAGACAGAGGGGACATGATAGTTTTCAGGTATCTAAAAGGCTGTTACAAGGAGGAGGGAGAAAAATTGTTTTCCTTGGCCTCTGAGGATAGGACAAGGAGCAATGGGCTTAAACTGCAGCACCACAGGTTTAGGCTGGACATGAGGAAGAAGCTTCTTAACTGTTGGGGGTGCTTAAGCACTGGAATAATGCTCTTAGGGAAGTTGTGGAATCTCCATCATTGGAGATATTAAGAGCAGGTTGGGTAGACACCTGTCAGGGATGGACGGGGGCTGATTCTGCCATGAGTCCAAGGAACTGGACTCAATCTCTCAAGGTCCCCTCCAGTTCTAGTACTTGATGATTCTGTAAAATAGCCCAACCCTCAGCTCTGCCCTTCCGCACCTCACGCGCAGTGGTAGCTGAAGGGCCACATGCTGCATCACATTAAGGCTACATCTAGACTGGCATGATTTTCCGCAAATGCTTTTCACAGAAAAGTTTTTCCGTGAAAAGCATTTGTGGAAAAGAGCGTCTAGATTGGCACGGACGCTTTTGCGCAAAAGCACTTTTTGCGGAAAAGCGTCCGTGCCAATCTAGATGCGGTTTTGCGCAAGAAAGCCCCGATCGCCATTTTCGCCATCGGGGCTTTTTTGCACAGAACAGTTTTTAGCTATCTACGCTGTCCCTCTTGAGCAAATACATTTGTGCAAGAGGACTTTTTCCCCCAAATGGGAGCAGCATAGTATTTGCGGAAGAACACTGACAATCTTACATGAGATCGTCAGTGTTCTTGTGCAAATTCAAGCAGCCAGTGTAGACAGCTGGCAAGTTTTTCCACAAAAGCAGCCGCTTTTGCGGAAAAACTTGCCAGTCTAGACGCAGCCTAAGCGTCCAACCATTACACCTTCAAGTGGTAGAACCACCAGGGAATCACAATGGGTTTAAATCTCTCACGCTCACGGAGGAAGGCACCATCTTGACAAATGCAGGCTGGGAGCAGCAGAACCGACAGGAGGCGGCGCTTGGCCACATTCCAACACACATCAACAACAGAGTTCACACATCAACAACATGCAATATTGTGACGGCGCGTTGGGGTTCCCCCGTCTCCTGCACCCTCGTAATGGCACGGACTCCACCAGCCAGTAGAATAGAGGGAGTTTATTGCCTCTCCAGGATACAGCACAGCACAGATGTTATCTGGTTACAGGGCAGGCCTAAGATGCCTCAGTCCCCCCTTGATATGGGGGGGGGGGGTCTGGGCTCCTAAACCCCCAGCCTGTTGCCTAGGCTGCTTCCTCCATGATACCAGACAGAGACTAACCCTCTTCCAGCCCTGCCCCCCAGTCAGGACAGCATTCCACCTTCCTTTGTTTCTCTCCTTGGGGGGTAGCTGGTCAGACAGGTTGAGACACCCTCTTTGCATAATGACTCATCCCCTGTCCTGCTGGGCCATGGTACAGACAGCAGCCAGGGGGGGTTACCACAGTCCCAGCATAGAAACCAGCAAGTTACCCCCCACATCACAAATATCAAGCAGGGAGGTCCCTGCATTTCCATGCCTTCCCACAGCAGCATGTTCCAGCCAACAGCCCTGTGGCTGGGGTCCTCCCTGGGACATGGGAGAGCCACAAAAGTCCCTGCTTTAAATTGGGTACATCTCAGTAGGGGGCTTTGCCACCCAGCTATTCTGGGGGGAGGAGGAGGGACAGCTCTTGTTTTGACCACTGACCTACCAGGTGTATGTGATGTTACAGACACCTTCCGCCTCAGTCCTGTGGCATTAAACAAGCCCCCACCAGCCTCCCACGGACACATTATGGACAATCCCCAAGCAGCTCTGCCATCGACCTGCATGACCAGACATTTCACTTTGCCTCTGTCAGCACCAGTGTCCTCTTCCTTGTTTTTAGAGACAAGATGGGAGGTGGGAGTCCTGGGGCACCTTAAAAAAACCCCAACAGACTGATTTGAGGATAAGCTTTCATAGGCAGAGATCCACTTCACCAGAGGCCATCAACTTTTGTGGGGTTTTGCCCACACAGGCTGGTGCCTAAATAAATCTGTTAGTCATTAAGGTGCCACAGGAATCCTCGTTTTTGCAGATACAGACTCACACAGCTCCCCTGCTACCTGTCTTGCCCTCCTAGACCCGTGGTGTCTAACCCGTTCTGAAGCAGTAGCTGCCATAGTGGCTACCGCTATGGCGAACTAGCCATACTCAACCAGCCAAATAGTCACATGTGGCTAGTGTGTTAGACACAAGAGCTTTGAGGCAGGAGCTGGTTTCTCACTCAGAGCAAGGTCCCCAAAAATTCACACTAGGATGGGGCTCTGTTTGCCAGCCCAGCCTGGGAGCTTGGGCAGCTCTTGCTGCATCCAGCAGCCACCCTTTGACATCTTGACATGGAGAGCTGACCCCCTCAAACAACTGCCCTTGCAAGCTAGCAGAGAACCCAGCAGAACAATTTCTGCTCATCCAGCGGCAGGGGCTTTGCACGGTGGACAGCAGGAACCGGGAGCCCGTGCACAAGGCTCAATTCACACATGCAGCCACTGGTTGGGGGAGCCCAGCTGGGACCTTGTGCTGTCTGCAGCAGGGGCTTAGCCACCTCTGCCAGGCTCCCCAAAGCCAGGGCACCTGCCTCCAACAGCCAGAAGAAAGGCAGGTTGTAAGCATCCGTGGAGAGCAGCAGGCCCTGGTGTGCCGAGTGGGGCAAGGGAAGGCTTACACATAAAACAACTCACTTGAAAACACCTTTAATAATCAAAAAATCAAACGTTGTGTGAATCTCTAGCGCCACCTGACCCC